AACTAGTGCTTCTCTGTAGAGTGCAATATTTGGAAACAGCTTTATATGATTTAAAAGTAAAAGGTTAATGTGACTAAAGGCAATGTGGTATCCTGTGTTGGATCCTGGAACAGAAGAAAAGTATTAGTGGCACAACTGTCCAATCTAATTAGTGGTTGCCCTGGACTGGGAGGATGGGGTAATGGAGAGTGCTTAATAGGTAAGGGATTTTTCTTTTGTGGGGATTAAAATGTTCTGGAACCATGTAGTGGTGATGGTTGTACAACACTGAATACACCGAATGTAAGAATGGTAAATTTTAGGTTATGTGTATTTTAACAAGTTTTAAAAGGCCATAAAGAGACATTATTTTTAAAATAGTGAGATCTGATGTTAATATTTCAATTTTGACAAGCATCCCAGGATTATTAAGACACTAATGTTAGGGGAATTTGAGTAATGAGTACATGGGAAATGTCTGTACTATCTGTGCAATTTTTCTGTAAATCTAAAATTATTCCAAAATGATAATTCTATCTGAAAGAATATAAAAATATATGACTTCAGTTTTTTTTAGGCCAGTATCACATTTTGTGTGTTTTTGTATCTATGTACCTATGTGTCATCTTTTAGAATATAAGTCCATTGAGGGCAAAGATATCATGTGGATCTCCTTGGTATTATTTTTTTCCCAGCTTTCTTGAGGTATAATTGACAAATAAAAATTGGACATACCTGTACATTGTGAGACAATCACCACAAATTAACACAATCATCACGTGGAATCACCATGTTTTGTGTGTGGTGAGAACATTTAAGATCTGTTCTCAGCAAATTTCAAGGCAACAACACAGTATTATTAACTAGAGTCACCACACTGTTAGATCCCATTTTTCACTTATAACTGAAAGTTTTTATCTTTCCCCAACATTGTCCCATTCCCCGCCTTACCTCCTCCACGCCCCGGCAGCCACCATTCTAATCTCTGCACCTTTAATTTTTTTTAAGATTCCACATATAAGTGAGATTTTTATAGCTTTTGTCTTTGTGTCTGATTTTCTTCACTTAGCAGAATGTCCTCCAGGTTCATCCATGTTGTTGCAGACGGCAGGATTCCTTTTCTCTAGGCTGAATAATATTCCCTTGAATGTACAGACCACATTTTCTTTATCCATTCATCTGCCCACAAATGCTCAGGTTGTTTCCTTGGCTGTTAGTGAATAATGAACACAGTTATGTGCATGTATTTCTTCAAGATACTGATTTCATTCCCTTTTGCATTATTCTTAAAATGCTAGTGGAGTTTTCAAATTTTAAACATTCCACAACTGAGTTCTGTTTTTCTGAAGAGCACTAAATAGAACAGTTTTCAGTTAAGGCCTCTGGTCACTGTAGAACTGGAGGGTACTTGGTGATAGCCTCTTCCCTGGGGCCTGTCAACCTAAGAGTAGTAACTTTTGGCCACTTCAGACCTGAGGTAATGTCAAACCAGCACAAGTTTCCATTTTTTCTCTTTATCCAGCCTATTCTCTATGTTCAGTTACTCATGCAGTTCATTTACTCTGAGATCTCAAGGGAGAGAGAAAGAACGAAAAGAACCAGCAGAGCTCCCTGTTTTGTATGCGTACAGTGCACAGGAGGTGTGACACCTCTGTTCACTATGTTCGGGTTAGCTGTTGCCGATAATTCTGTGATACAGGATGCCTGATAAGAAACATAAAAAATTGTGTGTGTATGTGTGTGTGTATGTATGTATGTGTGAGAAATGGTTATGAAAAATTTTTAAACTGAATCTTAAAATATTTTCAATGACATGGCTGGTTTCCTTCTCTTTTTCAGCCAGGGGGGAAATACTATTCCAGTTTCAAATAGGTCTGATTATTTTCTTGCCCATTGGAAAAATTCCCCAAAGAATCATCTGTTACCAGTGAGGATCCTCAATATTCTGTTTTTCTCCATATGTTTTCCATTTTTCTTTCTAAAAGGATCTGAAATAGGTTAAGATTTCTGAACTAAAATCTTGGAAACGACTTCTTGGTATGACTTGGTATATAGTCATATTCTAGTAAATAGGGTCTGTTGTCTGATGGAGATTTGTGGATTGACTCATATTTCTTGAAGTGCTAGCTTCACATAGATTTGTTCACTAGCAAAAAAACCATACAAATGTATGAACACTCAGCATTTTGAAATAGAGTGATGGAGCTCTATATATCTCTAAGCACTGGTGGGATTAGTATAGGCAAAAAGTGGCTAATAAGAGAAATAAAGCTAGGATGACAGAAGAAAAGAACCCCAAACTCAGCCAGAACCAAATAGCTATTTCTCTGATCATTTAGACAAGGTCTTATTGATACTGGGTGGATCTGGTAGTTAACTCCAGAATTATATGTGCCTGTACGTGTTTAATAATTGTAAATATTTTACTCTTTATATTTTACACTTAAATTCACTTTCAGTAAGAATTTATGTAAGTAATTCATTCTATATTCTATGGCATGGGATCAGTGAATCTCAAGAACCTTTTACTTATCCTTATTAAATCCTGAATTAAAAGAACCATTCACATGTCAAGGAGAGGCAACTGAGATCCAGGCAGCTTGGTCGTGTGATTTTTAAGTAGGTCAACGAGTGGGTGTGTAACAAATTATCCCTAATTTAGGAGCTTAAAACAACAAGTATTTATTCTCTCCCATAGTTCCTGAGGGTCAGGAGTCTGAGAATGACTTGGTCTGGTAGTTCTGGCTAAGGGTCTCATGGGGTTGCAGTCAAGTGGTTGGGCTTGGGGACTGAAGCCACCTCACAGGTCTCGTAGGGCTGGCGACATCACTTCTAAGCTCACTCATACAGTCTTTGGCAGCTCTCAGTTACTTGCTGGCTGTGGGCTGGTAACCTCCATAGGCTTCCTGAATGTTCCCTTGATAAGAAAGCTGGCTTCTCAGAGTGAGTGATCCAAGAGAGACCAAGAAAACAAGAGAGCACCCCAGATGGAAGGCACAGTCTTTTACGTCATCTTGGAAGTGAAATACCATCACTTCTGTCATATGCTATTGGTCACACAGATCAACATCGGTCCAGTGTGGAAGGAGACTGGGTACACAGAGTGTGAATACCAGGAAGCAGCGATCATTGGTGGTCCCCTGGGAAGCTGGCTCCCAGAGTGGTTATCCAGTTTCTCAGGTATTTGTATTCCACTGGACAAATTAAAAGACCTAACAATTTCAATTTTAAATGTCAGTATTTACGTTATGGTAGAAATGTCACCCTTTCCAACTACCATTTATGATGAAACAATTTTTAATGCATCTAGGAGGTATACATATTTTTTAAAAGTCTTTTGGGTATAAGAGGATAAAGTTTCAAGACCACTGGCTCAGACTACTAGTTCTATTCCATGTGTCCCTCTTATACTTCTGGCTCTTTATCTCCCCCACGTGGTGCTCTTTTATCTTAAAGTTATGGGCACTTGATTAATGAAAGACAAACCTCCAATTGGAAATAACTTGCGCTCTGATTTGTAAATGGGAGAGATTATTTGAATCTGGATTGTCCCTGAAAATGTAGACTTCTGGATATGAATAAGAAAATGGACCAGGAGCTTTACTTTTTAAAAATGGGATTTATTTTAAAATGGGACACCAAGAGAATATAATCTAGGATCTACCAAAGTTATAAGCTGGAGAGCATGGTTCCTGGATGATCAGAATATAAGATGACATTCTTGTATTTAAAAAATTGTATACAATTGTCACATCTTTATAAGAAGCAATTTTTTAAAAATTGAATAGTTTGCAGAGGTGAAGTTCTGCTTACAGTTTGATTGTATATGCCATCAGTTTGTTTGTTTAATGAAGGCATAAACCTTAGATGAACCTCCAGGTTCAGTTAAGCCAAAATGCAGTCAGTAATTATGGATAACCGTTGGAAAAGATGCTGAGATTTTACTGAGACATAGCACAATGAACCTAAAAATTAAACCGATGTTTTGAGTATTTTATTAGGAACTAGCCTTGAAGCTTGACAGACAGGACTAACCTCTATTTTATTCCTAACAATTGTCCCCCCTCATTCTTAAGTGGTGTGTTGTACCGCACTTGCATAAACTTTAGATGAACCAAAATAGCAATACATATTCAATGACTCTTGAATGTTTTATTCAGTACCATAAACACTGAACTACACAGAGCTAAAATTTTTGTAAAACAAAACGCAAACTGCCTTGGGAATTTTCCAATCTAAACTAAAGGGACCAGGTAGAGTTGAATTTTAGTAAGGTAGCTGGAAGATTTTCGCTCCTGTACCCACCGATGAGGAGCTCGGTCTCGATTCCGGTACAGAGGCTACCTACGGCGGGGCCAATGATAAGCTCTGCATGAAGAGAGCTCCTGTTTATTTCTCTCCCTCCTCAAAGCCCTTTTCGCTACAATGCAGAGAGGCCTGTGGCGCTGGTGGTCAGGCGCTGCGCGCAAAGCCGACCTGGACCATTTGCGTCTGGGAGGCTGGTCTCCAAGCCGGTGCGTGACACACGCGGGCTTCTCAGGAGTCGGGAGCAGCGCCCTTCCCCCTCCCGAGAGCCCGTCCTTCGTCCTAGGCACTTAGCTGTTGGTCATGACCCCGGGCCTGGCGCCCCTCGTGCGCCGTGGGCCCCAGGGCGATGTCCACAGTTCGCGTAGTGAAAAGGGTGGCAGAGATCCTAACCAGATGCGGGACCAAGACCGGGGAAGCGACCTGCTTGTGAGCTCCCACCTCCCTCCCTGCGGTCACCCAGGGACAGCGACGAGGCCGGCCGGGTCGGGCCAGGTCGCAGCGGTAGCATCCGGGCCTGCGCCGGCCGAGCCCCAGCGGGACAGGACACGGGAGGGAGAGCCAGGGCCTCCCGCTAGGCCGCGCGGCGCCCGGCTTCCGGCTGCGGGCGGTGCAGAGGCGGAGGCGGCCGGAAGTGGGCTGAGCCGGCCTCCGGGAGCGCGGCCAGCACTTCCGGGGGCCGTGAGTCGGGCTCTAAGCGTCTTCCGGTAGGCGGCGCGGGAGCCAAAAGAAGCTTGAGGGGCCGGGCCGGGCCGGGCGGATCCCCTTCTTCCCCAAATGTGAGCAGTGTCCCGAGTCCCCGTCAGGCAAAGGCTGCCCAAAGAGGTGAAGCCGGTGGCCGGGCCGGGAACATGAGGCAGTGTCTCCTCTTCCTGACCAGCTGGGTTTCTTTCGTGCTGGCGCCGCGGCCTCCGGACAAGCCCGGCTTCGGCTCCCCGCAGCGACTCGGTAAAGACCGGGGGAACTTGCCTTAGGCCGGCGCCTGGCGCGCGCTGCTGTCGGGGAAAAGAGGGCAGCGGGATCCATCAGGTGTTTGGGGGCGGGGTATGGGACGGCGGTGGCGCGTCCCTAAGTTTTTAGTGTAGGAAGGGGGTGTGGCTCTCGCATTTTGAAGAAAGAATGAAGACGGGCTTGTCTAAACGGGAAAGGGATGCCGCAGGGGGTCTCTCGTATTGACTAGGGTTCTGGGAGGGGTCTGCCCCCTGGGTGTGTATTTGGAGCGGGTGTCTGGAGGCGGAGATGTGGTCCCGGGCCCTGCGCTGCCAGGGTGTGCTTTCCTGTCAAAGCAGCCCTCCGGGAGGAGGACGGAAGGGCCGGCAGCCACAGCTCCCCTGGCTCTAAGGCGCGAGCTAGACTTTCCGCTGTAGGAAGTACTTATGCAGGCATCTGGTTGGAAGGCGGTGGCTGGAGAACTCAGAGTGCGTTATGTGAACACCGTAAGCCTGTATTTAGTTATTTAAATAGTAGCTTATTGAAGGTTCTGGGGGGGAAGGGGCGCTGAAACTTGTCAAGCCAATTCGTGATACTGTTAACTGTGAATGCCTTCCTTGCCATTTTAAACAAAGAAATGATCAGGAATGACCAATTTGATCAGTTCTGAGCCTATAAAGTAGAGGATTCTTACTTAGATTTTCTTAGAGATTGGCTTTAAGGATGGCTTTAAGGATATGTTTGTTGGAAATTAGTTTGTCTAAACCTATAGTATCTGTTAGGGGTCTTTATCTTTCAGAAGTTGACAGGTAAGATAGTTTGACTAATTAATAATAAAATACGAAACATAGTATATTTTTGCAGTGTGCGAAGTCGTATCCTCTGATTTTTCATGGTTGTATTGGTCCCCAAATCCCACCGTGATTCCATGTATAGATTGTGCAGATTGAGACACCATGTGGGTTTTCTTTATGGTTAATAAAATTTTTGCATTAGTTTACCTAGTAATTCCTTTTTGTTTAACGGACAGAAATTGTAATTATGAAGTTATTAAAGGTGTTGAGTGTGCTCACCCGAACAGGTGCTTTGTGGTTATCTCAAATTGAAGTGAACTACAGGTGACTAGTTTAATGAACGGCAAGGGAGGTTGTTAGGAGGTGGTGCGATGTGGTAAGTAAATACAAACTGATGAAAATTTTTGAGATAGGAGTGATCAGAAGGGAGGGGTAGGGGAGGGGTAGGATGTGGATCCATTTCATAATGATAAATGTTAATAAAAAGAACATGTATTTTGAGATACTAAAATTACATTTTCACCACTCTAGGACAACTGTTTCACTTTTATTCTCCTTTTCACAGATGGAAAAATAAGCATGAATCCTAAGGGTGCACATCATATAGGGAAAAACCTTACTTTAGGTCTGTTCTCAACAATATTCATAGACCATAAGAGTGTTTTGGACCGTGTGCTTTTAATTTGCAAAGTGCAGACCACCAGGAAAATGTATAGACTTACTTGTTTATTCACCAAATGTTTGAAGAACACATATTGTATGCAAGTATTATGTGTGGCATTGGAAATACAACGATCAGACTATCTTCAGAAAGCTTTTGGCATAGTGGTATAGAGAGATCTAAAACAGGCAATTCTGAAGCAATGTGGAGGAACGTGGTAGAGTCCATATGGCAGGTATTATCATCAAGGGGCTCTCTGAAGGTGATAATTGAGCCAAGACTTTAAGGTTTAGGTAGGTGAAGAGGAAAAATAAGAACACTCCCTATGGGGGCACTTAGAGACTGTTAGAGTTGAATTGAACCTTTGAGATCATGTCTAGATTTTTAAATAAAGCGGCAGGAAAAATGAATCTCTAAGGGTGTAGTGAGTTTTCAAGTTCACGTAGTGATAAATATATGCCTTGTGGATATTTTTTTCTTTTGAAGAATGACTTTTTTGTGTGTTTTTTGACAGCTCAGGATTTGTTGCTTAACTTAACCCTACCATTATTTAAATTGAATTGGTCAAGACCAATGAATAGTTTCATAGTTAAAGAGGGTGTTTTATTATTTATTATCCTACTTATCATATAAATGTTACCATAACCACAGTACTAAATACGGATTAGGGAATTGACAACATTTTTCTGAAGGACAGAAATATGTAATAGAATCCTGGTTTTCGGAGTACTCCCCAGGTCACCCAAAATGATTGCAATTGAACGGTTATGAATTGCTTAATTTAGGAAAGTTATGAGTCATGTGAGCTTAGTCATGATGATATCTTGTTAAGTTGTAGCTGGGGTGTATAAAGTCCCACTTGATTTCAAAAGTGTTTTCCCTTTGTGTTACTTTTAATAAAAGAGGATGTAGTGGGTGGAAGGAAAGAAAATGTAGGTCACAGATGAGGGATGAAAGTTTGTATCTGAAACATGTATTTTGAAGTTTATTTTGAGGTTATTGGTGTGGGGCTTCTGCACATCTCAATACTCATTTCTCATTATTAACAGCATTGTTTTGCTCAATATTCTGACATCTGGCTTCCTCTTTTGATGTTAATTTTGCTTACAAGCTGCATTCCTTTAAAGCTGAAACACTTAGCTACCCTTACTGCTCCAAGGAAGATTTAACGCCGCTCTGCTTTGTACTACTCAAGCAGGTAAACTGTGTTTCCAGAATAAAATGAAGAGACGAGTTAATCAGAGAGTCATGGTGGAGAAACTGGAGAACTTCTGTTGGCCATTACAGGGTTTTCCAGAACATTAAATTTAGGTGTCTTTCTTCAAAGCCAAGTGGTGGTTGATTTTTGGATTCTTTACCATTTTTTATTTGTGAGAGATGGTGTTTTTAGTTGGAAGTATAATTTGAAGAAAGTCTGAAAAAGTTGGCATGAAAGGAAGGACAGGTATAGGCTTCACTGAGGTAGGGAAGTGAAATGACGTTTTTCTTCTGTCCCTTAATACTAAAATCATCCAAGGAGATGGTATCTCCCTCCCCACACATCTCTCTCTCTTCCCCCGCCCCCACCCCTTTAACATGAATTGTAGGCTCTGAGAAGTCTCATCTGCTGCCCTGGTTTCACTTCCCATTTGAGTGTTTTCTCATGACTATCAAAAACTTCTGAGGTAGACTTGTTCTCTGAAGCTTCACACTCATGTGTCCCACTTGATGTTTCCACTTCATTGTTCACAGGCACTTCAAATATAACATGTCCGAGATTACTTCCTATCAGTTTGATGAGAAGAATGACTATAGGAGACAAGGTTTAGTTTCAGAATATGCAGTACTGCTGAAAATTGTGGAAGTAGTCTCATTGCTTACCCTAAATTCGCATCCCTTTCATCCATAGAGCCTTATGGACCAATCCAAGTTTCTTCAGAGGGTCCCTTGGGCTGTGCTGACTTTCATGGACTCAGAGTTCCCATGTGACTGGTCTTGTGAAGAATCTTGGCCTAGGTTAAGTCCCAGCCTGGTGAAGAGCTCTTGACACGGAATTATTTGAGGCAGCACATCTTCCAACCTCCCTAACTGATACAGACCCATAGAATTAAGTTTTAGTTCCCAGGCTCTGGGGTCCACTGCCTAGCGGAGAGTTCTGCTGTCCTTTCGTAGTCCCAAGGACAGATTCACCCTTGGGTGGGGCTTGTTGCACAGTAACCTGGCCAGGCCACTCCCTTGTCCTGCATGTGTTGGGGAGTGCTGAAGAGCACTCAGGTTTCACGTGTATTCTGCACAAGCAGAATAAACACTTGACAGCAGCTCTGGTTGTATCTTTTCTGCTCTGACACCAGAAGTGGGAGCATGGCATTGATAGTTTCATTTTGGGGCACTCTTTGTACTCCATGCCCCTGAGCAGTGGAGAATGCACAATGCTAATGGAGTTCCGCATTCCACTTGAAGGTTGTATTCCAGGAAAAAGCCGTTTATTGTAAAAATAAAAAAGGCAAGCAAAAAGTCCACAAATGTTCCCAAACTTTTCTTATATAACACCTCACTGTTCAAAAATCAGTTTTATATTTAAAATGTTGATTCCGGGGTTGGTGAAAGAAATATGAGTATGCTTCATTGAACAAAGTCAGTGGTCATAAAAGCTTATCCTGGAGGTGAACAATTCAGATATAAGAGAACGTGAAGTGGAAGGTTTATCAGGTCTTAAGCAGGCCAATCCACATCTACATCCAGAAAGCCAGTTTATTGCAGGCCTGAAGGTCCAGCTTTCTCTTTATTCTTTGAGAACATGTGGAAGGAAAAAAGCATTGCTTTCTTTTTACCACCGATGTTGATGTTGAAAATCATACCGTAACAGACTTTCTTTCTCTCCACCTAAAATCACTCTAAAGACTTACCAGTAATTTAATTGCAAACATATGATGACTTAATGCAAAAAAGTCCTATGGAAATGAACAAGGTAATTGCAAACTGTATATAAGAACAAGATAATAATATGGAACACCAGAATCTTTTAGCATCCAGTTGTTCTCTTACATCAGCCCCTCCCCCAAACCTCCTACTCATGTTTTTTTTTAATCTCAATGACTGTGGTACCACTGTGTACCCAGATACCCAAGCCAGAAACCTGGAGGTCTTTTTGTGATCTCCGTTTGAATTACTCAGCAGCTTACTAGCCAATGTCCCAAACTCCAGTCTTGCTCCCCTCTGGCCTCCTCTCCACACTGCAATCACACAGACATTTCTGACAGCTGTTGCCCTCATCCACAGTCCCAAATCCTTACTTAGTTCCATCGCCCTCTATGAGTAGACCTGACTGCCTCTCAAGCCTCACACCCTGCATACCCTCTGAGCTTTCCGCACCTCTGCCTCCCAAAGTTGCTTTCATTTCTTTGAGTAGTGTGTTCTCTGTTGCCTGTGGACCTCAGCATATGTTACACCCTTCACTTAGAACTCTCTTTATTTCTCCTTTTCTTGGCTGCCACTTCATTCTTATGGTTTTAACTTCAATACTGTTTCCCTGGGAAAGCATCCTTGGCTCACCCCCAGGGGTCATGCTCCTGTGTCCTTCCATCACTTCCTGCAGCTTCCTCTCCCTTGGTGCTCAACATATTTCATAGTAATTTTTTTGTGTGGTAGTCTTGCTCCCAGTGTTACCATGTCAGGAATATATTTCTCTTTCCATTATATCCCTAGTGGCTGGAAGATAGGAGGGTTTCAATAAATGTTGAATAAATCAACAGGTTGGGTCTGATGAAAGGGAGAAAACTAAGTGCAGGATGTATGTGTAAGAAAGGAAGGAAGGGGGTGGAAAAAAGATTCAAAAGCAGTGAAGGGTGGGGTCTTTAAGGACAGCTAGACACTTGAGGCCAGGTGGGAGAAACCATAGCACCTGTCAGAGGAGAGCAGGGAGGAGTGGGTAGAGGATACCTAAATAATATCATTTGCTAGTGAAAGAAGAGAGGGGATGCGAACTGAACAGTCAAAGCAGGTTTATTGCTGAACCTGAGAGGGACCCTCTGTCTCGGCCAGCAGAACAAAGGAAAAAGAGGGTTTCTAACAGGCCAGGGGGCTTTTTTTGGCCAGGGTTTTGGTGGGCTCTTTGAGGGGAGGGGTCGGGGGAAAAAGTGAACTTGTGGCTTGCTAATGCGTCCTCTCGAGGATGCTTATAGCCTAGGTAAGATGACACCTAGGTCTCTCTGTGATGGTGGCTGGGCTTATTCAAAAGGCGTACTCAGGTGCGGATTGTATCAGCTAGTCTGACCACTTTAATTGTGTGTGTTTGCTCATTTGTGTTGGTAGCCAGCTGAAATGAGAAAAACTCAATTGTTTAGGGTGATTGCTGGAGCAACTTGTAGAAAGCGAGGAAAGTGTTCTCATTCTAGAGAGTACTGGGCAGCCACTGTGGAGTTTCTAAACGAGAGAATCTGACTGTATGCTGAACTAAGAAAGATAGTTAAGTGGTTCAGACTTAAGTTATATCTTAAATCGTACTGAGAGATTTGGATATGGATAAAGGATAAACTCTTGGGAAGTGGGAGAAATATAAATTCAGTTGAAAAAGCTTAGAAAATCGAGATTACCAATGGTTGGGAGTTTGGAAGTGAAGTGCAATCAATGCTGAGTAGCTGAGAGGCCACTTGCTGGTGAAGGGCAGTGGCTGGAGCAGGAACTCTGTTGGACGAGGGGAGCGTTGTTTGGAATGGCTCCAGGACATCCAATTTGAAAAACATCAATCTAGTTATTGAAAGAGGACAAATTACAATTGAAGCATGCTAATTAAAGTGCTTTAGTGAGCTACATTTTAAAAATGCTTATTATAGAAAATATACCTAAAGATAACCAGTGATGTTACTATCTTGCTCTTGTTTTCTTTTCTAGGCTTATTTTTCTACATAGTTAAGATCATGCCACATGAATAGTTTTTAAGAAAAATCTTCTTTTGTTTATTTAATATTATAGTGCATTTTCCCATGTTCTTAAAAACGTGTTGTTACCATTATTTTACATGATTACAGGTTTTTTTTGTATGTGTCACTTGCAAGTACTATAACTTGTCTGTTTCCCAGTTATTAATTTACCTTTTTTCTGATTTTTTTTCTTAATAATGCAAGGCTAAACAGTGAACATCTTTGTGCTTAATGCTGTTCACTTTGAACTATTTCCTTACTTTAGCCTAGTTCAGTGGTTCTCAAAATTGAGTGCGTCAGTATCACTTTGAAGACATGTTAGCCACAGAGTGCTGGGCCTCCCCCCAAGACTGTTCTGATTGAATAGGACTGAGGAGACCTGAAAACTGGCCTTTAACAAGTTCCCAGGTGACACTGGTGCTGCTGGTATGGGGGCTACACTTTGAGAATGACTAGCTATATTATTGACAGTGAAAATTCAGTGTTTGAGGTTAAGTTTCTCAGTCAGAAAGAGCGATTGTGATCTTGACTGAAACTGAGTTCATGTACCAACCTGTATCAGGGAAGCTGAGCTTAAGGATTGTATCACAGCATCTCAGCATTGAGAATTTGTGCAATTTGTGAACATGGGAGTGTTGATTGACGCAGAGTTCTGTGCTGGGTATTGGGAACTAAAGATATTGTGATGAATAAAACAGCTCCCTTTTGGTTGTTTTACAGTTTGTTTGTGAGTTAAATATAACTCAGAAGTGCCAGAAGAAAGGTGTAAGGAAAGGGCTTTAGAATTCAGAGGGAGGCCAGGTCATGTTTGGTTGACATGTTAAAAAGCAGGAGACCAAGAAGTAGAAGGTCCAAGAAGAGTTAGGCTATTTTTACAAAGTTTCAAAAGTATGATATCATTAAAACTTGGGGTGCTCAGCTAGACAGGCCCAAGTTCAAATTCCAGTTTTGTGCTACATTAACTTTGTGATGTTACTCTCCCAGAGTCTGTTTCTTCATCTGTAAGATGGGTTAATATCCCAGGGATGTTTGTGGAGATAATATCAGAAAACACCCAGAAATGGTTTTTGTAAATAGTTTGTAAAATACTCTTGTAAAAAACAAACACCCAAAATTGTTGAATAAACAGCATCCTTCTTGCAGGTTTTTCATTGGCTCTGCTAAGCAGTATAATTAGTAAGGACGAATCACCAGCAGCCATCCATTGGCATAAAAGTTGGTTGATGCCTTCTGAAACAGCTTTCCTCTGGATTAAATTGAAAAGGAAATTTTGTTAGCAGAAAATGGGTGAAACTCCTTAAGTGTGAAGTTTGCTGCCACTTCATTTAATGTTGTTAGAACCTTGAATGAACTTTGAAATTTACTTTCATCAGATAGTGGCATGCTTACCCCTGCTTTTTTCAGGTTTGCTTGCACCTTATCTAGCAGTGAGGCATTTTTCTTTGACACTATATAAACTGTCCCTTCCCACTCTCTGTCTCTGCTTCTCCGCTATCTTGCTTTAATGGCCATAGCACTGGCATATTATATATTTTCTTGTGCATTTTCTGTCTCCCACATTAAATGGGTGCTGTATTGCATTAAGCAAGGACTTCGTTCTGTTTAATGCTGTATCTGAATACTTAAAAACTAGTGCCTGGCACAAAGCAGTATGTGAATGGACCAATTGAAGGTATTTAGGGGAAGTGGAAGGGGAAAAGTATTGGGTGGATTCTGCCTTTTAAAAATGGTTTTGTGAGCATATTTAACCTTAGTAGCAATATGCTTGTATTTTAGGCTCCTGTTGCTATATTCTGAGGACATTCTAAGTCCAGTGGAATGATTTTGAATAGCATAGCTTCTGCAGTGGTATTTGTTGAGAGAAAAGGAAAGCATCAGCTGAAATATTTTTAGAGTTTTTACAGACATTAAGTTGCCAAAATTGTCTTTCAAAAATCCATCTGATTTTGGATGAGGCAGCAGTGTTGCTGTTGATGAAAAGTGACTTAGAAGAGTAGCATACACTATTACATCATAGTGTCTACTCTTGCTCTACCAAGTAAAAACTCTTTGTAGTCGATCTTTGGGGTAGTGAGTCTTTGCTTTTATTGGGTGCCAAGTCAGTCTGGTAACATAATTAAATTTTTTTTCCCCAGGGCTTTGTTTGGTTTTACCATTATGCTTCCTGATGTGCAGTGGATCGATAATCTGCCCCATCTGTTGAGGGCAGCAATGATAAGGATATTACCACTTTATTGTTCTTTAATTTAGAATATGTGATTTTTCTGTAAAAGACTTACTTTGCTACTTTTGGTTTGCTCAGGCCATTAATGTATTTGTTACTCTTTCTTACTACACATCAACTGATAATTGTTTGTGAGATAAATATAACTCAGAAGTGCCAGAAGAAAGGTGTAAGCAAAGGGCTTCAGAATTCACAGGGAGACCAGGTTATGTTTGGTTGACATGGGCGGGCAATGGGCAGTTTGGCAATGGGCAGGTTGAGTTGCCACCTTGCTTTTAGACATTCTAAATACAAGCCAGAAATGCCTTTAATTTAGAAATTAGCTCATTGTATAATATAATTCTCTTTGAGATACCAAAATTATTCATATCTAATAAGAACATGGACTCATGTTCAGATTTCCCTAATTGTTGCAAATATCTTTCCACAATTGATTTGACCTAGAATCTAAAAAATTTCACACATTGGCTTGCTTGCTGTATTGTCTATTATGTCTCTTTCCCTCCCTTCTTTCCTATGCCATTTATTTCCTGAAGAAATTGGGTCATTTGTTCTTAGGAATTCTAACATTCTGGGTGTGGCTGATTGTTTCCCAATGTTGTTATTTAACTTGGTAACCTCTAAACCCTTTATGTCCTAATTTAGATCTGATTAGACTGTTCAATCTGTTTTTATTTTTGTGGGATTTTTTTTTTTTTTTGGTAAGAAGAATTCATGGGTTAGTACACATGGTGTGGGGGGATCATGGGGAAGACAGTGTAGAACAGAGAAGACAAGTATTGACTGTGGCATCTTACTACACTGATGGACAGTGATTGCAGTGGGGCATGGGGGGACTCGATAATATGGGTGAATGTAGTAACCACATTGTTTTTCATGTGAAACCTTCATGAGAGTGTATATCGATACCTTAATAAAAAAAAGTAATTCATAGGTCAGGTTGGCATTTCATAATGAGTTACATCAGGAAGAGTTTATTCTCTGACTCATTTTAGTGATACTATAATTGATTGGTAGGTGTAGGTGTTAATAACATTTTTCCCTTTATTTCAGAAAAGCTTGATTCTTTGCTTTCAGACTACGATATCCTCTCTTTATCCAATATCCAACAGCACTCGGTAAGAAAAAGGGATCTACAGGCCTCAACACATTTAGAAACACTACTAACTTTTTCAGCCTTGAAAAGGTAATTTGAATTATTCATAGAATAATGTTGGTAAACTGGGGGACTTGGTGTGATAAAGGAGAAAAATAAGGGTGCTACTGAAATTTCACTTAGGGAGTTACATTTTAAAGATTTGTAATTTATGTAATTACAGTCTGTCATGATTCCTGTATATAGTGTATTGCTTATTCTAAAATTTATACTGATGAGTGTTAAGAAAAAGTCAATGGGTATTCCAGAAGCATTAATGATGATAATGCATTTGTGGAATTCTAATAAAGAATTTAAATTAATTTAATTATTATAATACCTTAAATTTTTTGTCCTACTTTAGAACTATCAACCATTTACTGAGTACTATTTTTATTTTATACATGAAGACACTGAGCTGTAAAGGTAAAGAATTTGTTCAGGACCCCACAACCTGGTGGTGAGCCAGGTCTAGAATTCCGTGTTCTTTCTACGTTTTCTTTTACATAATAGCATGAATTCATAGATGTAGTCTATTTGGGTAGTAATCTTAGTATCTCTTATGTTTTGTAGGTGTAAGTCCTGTTAGATAATTGCAGGCCACTTTCCAAAGTAGTGAAGCTTTATAAAGAGCTTTACTAAAAAGAAAAAAAACAGAATATAAATGGGCTGAATTATTCTTTATATAGGATAAACCTTCAACAAATTTTTTGAAAATAAAAGAAATACATGCAAACTACAGAAAGAGTAAGAAGTTTTCACTTCTTATTAACTCAGTGCACTTCCCAGACCCAGAGAGGTATCCTGCCTAACATCCAAAAGATTTTAATGCATATTTTTGCATACAGATCGGTACATATAGGCATACCTTGTTTTATTGTGTTTCTCAGGTATTGTGATTTTTACAAAGTAAAGATTGGTGGCAACCCTGCATTGAGCAAGTCTTTTGGCAACATTTTCCCAACAGCATTTGCTCACTTCATTTCTTTTGTCACATTTTGGTAATTCTCAAAAGTATTTCAGACTTTTTCATTATCATTACATTTGTTATGGTGATCTGTGATCTTTGGTGTTACTATTGTAATTATTTTGGGGTGCCATGAACTGTGCCATGGTGAACAGATAAATGTGAATTCTGACTACTCCAGCAACTAGCCATTCTTCCATATCTTTTTTTTCCCCTCCCTCTCTTTGGGCTCCCCTATTCCCTGAGACACAACAATATTGAAATTACGCCAAGTAACAACCCTATAATGGCCTCTAAGTGCTCAAGTGAAAGGAGGTCACATTCTGTCACTTAAAGTTGAAAGCTTGGAATGATTAAGCTTGATGAGGAAGGCATATCTAAAGCTAAGACAGATCGAAAGTTAGGCCTATTGCTCAAAACAGCCGGGTTATAAATGCAAAAGAAAAGTTCTTGAAGGGTATTAAAATTGCTACTCCAGTGAACATGTGAATGATAAGGAAGCAAAACAGCCTTCTTGCTGATATGGAGAAAGTTTGAGTGGTCTGGATAGAAGATCAAACCAGCCACAGCTTTCCCTTAAGCTGAAGCCTAATCCAGAGCAAGGCCCTTACTGTGTTCCATTCTGTGAAGTCTGAGCGGTGAGGAAGCTGCAGAAGAAAAGTTTGAAGCTGCAGAGGTTGGTTCATTAAGTGTACGAAAAGAAGCCGTCTTCGGATGTAACAAGGTGAAGGAGCAAGTGCTGGTAGGGGAGTTGCAGCAAGTTATCCGGGACATCTAGCTGAGAGAATTCATGATGGTGACACACTAACCAAGAGATTTTTAATGTGGACGGAGCAGCCTTGTAATGGAAGAAGGTGCCCTCTAGGAGTTTGTTAGCTAGAGAGGAAAATCAATGCCTGGCTTCAAAGGACAGTCTGACTCTTGTTAGGGGTTAAGGTAGTGACTTTTAAGCTGAAGCCAGTTCTCATTTATCATTCTGAAAATCCTAGGAACCTTAAGAATTATGCTAAATCTACTCTGCCTGTTTTCTCTAAATGGAACAGCAAAGCCTGGAATGACAGCACATATCTTTGTAGCATGATTTACTAAATATATAAAGCCCACTGTTGAGACCTACTGGAGAGGAAAGAAAGATTCCTTTCAAAATATTACTGCTCATTGACAGTACACCTATTCACCCAAGAGCTCTGAGATGTACAACGACATTTATGTTTTCATGCCTGCTAACACACATCCATTTTGTAGACCATGGATCAATGAGTAATTTTGACTTTCAAGTCTTATTATTTAAGAAATATATTTCATAAGGCTATAGGTGCCATAGATAGTGATTCCCCTGATGAATCTGGGCAAAGTAAATTGAAAACCTAGTGGAAAGGATTCACCATTGTAGATGTCATTAAAAGAACATTTGTGATTCATGGGAAGGGGTCACAATATGAACATTAACAGGAGTTTGGAAGAAGTTGATTCTAACCCTTATGGATGACTTTGAGGGGTTTAAGATTCCATGGAGGAAGTCATTGCAGATGTGGAAATCACAAGAGAACTAGAATTAGAAGTGGAGCCCAAAGATATGACTGAATCGCCATCTCATGAAAAAATTTTCATGGATGAGGTGCTTCTTGTGGATGAGAAATCTCCAAGTGGTTTCTTGAGATGGAATCTACCCCTGGTGAAGATGCTGTGAAGATTGTTGAAATGGCAAAGTATTTAGAATGTTAGTGTAAACTTAGTTGGTAAGGCAGTGGCAGAGACTGAAACTATTGACTCCGGTTTCGAAAGAAGCTCTGTGGGTGAAGTGTTCTCAAACAGCATCACATAATACAGAGAAATTCATGAAAAGAAGAGTCAGTCGATGTGACAGATTTCATTGTTGTCCTACTTTAAGAAATTGCAGTAGTCACCCCTACTTTTAGCAACCACTACCCTGATCAGTCTGCAACCATCAACATCAAGGTAAGACCCCCCCCACCAGCAAAAAAGATTCCAGCTTGCTGAAAGCTCAGATGATGATTAGCACTTTTTAGCAATAATGTTAAATTAAGGTATATACATTATTTTTTGGACATAATCCTGTTGCACACTTAGAAGACTACAGTATACTGTAAACATAACTTTCATTTGCACTGGAAAACCAAAAAATTTAGTTGACTTTATTGTAAGGTCTGGAACCCATCCACAGTACAGTACCTTTGTGGTATGCCTGTATGCAGGTGCTGTAGATAACAGATATATTTCATTTTTAACAGCTGCATAATTATTTCTATTGCATAGAACTGTAGCAGTTTATTTACTAGTACCCTGCACATGGATATCATTTAATCAAAATGATTTTTTTCTGTAACAATGTTCCAGTGAGTTTTGTTGTAAATATACCTTGTCTAGGTATTTTCATACATTCCTAAATACATTCCTAAAAGGAAAGCTACTAGGTCAAGGATATACATATTATAAATGTTTCTTTATATTGTCATGTTTTTTCCTAAAGACGTTAGACCAGTTTATTCTTCTAGCAGTGGTATATGAGTTTACTAGTTTCCTATTATCCTTGCCAATACTAAGTTTTATTAACCTGTATATTTTGTCCCTCTGAGAGAGGATGGTATCTTATAGTTGTTTTGATATTCATTTTGTGTGAACTTGAGCATATTTTCATGTGTTTATGTCATTTGTTTTATTTTTCTGTGTCTGTCTTTTCATATACTTTTATCATTTCTCTATTGGTTTATAGAAATATTCTATTTCTATATATGTGATTTATCCTTTTGGTTACTGAATTGTAGTAGTGTTTAGTATATTAAGGAAATTGGCTTATTATGACATGTATTTCTGATACATTTTCCTACATGTTTTTAATTTTTCCTAGTTATTATCATCATCCTTAGATTATTTTTGAATAATTTATTTTTATTAGATATTACATCAAAATATTACCATCCAGCTTTCAAACTTAAATTAGAACAGTGATGATAATAATAGCAGCTATAGTTTATCAGGTGCTTATTTTGTATAATTTATTTCAGTAAGCACTTACCATGTATTATCTCTCATTCTCACTATACACTGCATAGAAGTTTGTGTTATTTCCTTTTTGAAGTTCCCCCATCCCCTCCCCCACCCCCAAATTGAGGCTCAGAGAGGTTAGGTAACTTATCCAAAGTTCTCAGCTAGTAAATGGAAGATAAGGGACTTTAACACAAGTCTGACTCCAAAACTTATGTTATTTCTGCTACACTGGTAGGAGTTTGGTGAAGGGGTGGATACGTATAGTAGTAGGAAATGAGTAGGAGCAAAGAAAGGGAAAACTGTAAGCAGATACAAACTCAAGGTTTAACTTTCTGGTTTCTTTTAAAGTAAGATTTGAGGTGGCCTGCAGAATCCTTGTTAAAGGAGTAAATACTGTCATCGCCATACATACTTTTTTATGTTTCATATGTGATATTGATTCATTAAGAAATGTTAAGCATTATTTATTCTCTCTGTGTAAGGAAGCAGAGAAATTTGTAATTTGTTATAGAGTTTTGTCTTAAATTTTAATGGGATGTATCCAAGAATGTATGAGAAGTTTGTACTAGGTACTTTAAAATAGTTTATTTCATTTAATCCTCAAAATCATTGTTAGTAGGTAGTATTATTTCTACTTGTAGATGAAAGTGCAGAGGTTAAGGCCAAGATCAGACACTGAATAAGTGATGGAAGTAGAGTTTAAGCCAGGCTTGTCTGACTCCAAAGCCTATACCCTTTCCTTTCTGTTATACTGTGTTATTAAAGCTTAAAAGAAAAAAAAATGGGACACCTGACATGATCAGTTTGTATAGGGCTCAACTTATTTGTGTGAAAGCCATTTGTTAGTTGATGGTTATGGTAAATGATTAATTTCCTGTTTTTTAGGTAGTAGTGGAAGGCAGAATAATTTAAACCAAGATCACAAAATTAAATTCGACTGTGACTATTAGCAATTGAATAAGCATGGAAACACAGAGATTGTATTATAAGTTAAAAAGAAATTTTTTGAAAAAGAGAAAAAAACTTTGAAATTTGCCTACAGGTTATAATTATTCTTTTTTATAAATCAATAAACACTATTATTCTTAAGTAATGAAAAAGATAGAAATGCTGTTTTAAGTTGTTTTTTTGATAAAATTAGATATTGGTTACTCTTTCAAATATCTCAAGTTACTTGAAGGGGGCTAGAACTGATAAAGAAATGAAAGTGATACTTTTCCAGCTAAATGGACCATTAAAAGTAGATAGGGGATACAAACTTCCAGTTGTAAAATAAGTCCTGGGGATGTAATGTACAACATGGTAACAGTAATTGATAATATTGTATTGGATGTTTGAAAGTTGCTAAGAGAGTCGATCTTAAAAGTTCTCATCACAAGAAAAATATAACTATGTATGGTTACTGATGTTAACTAGACTTACTGTGGTGAACATAATTGTAAGTCAGAAGATAAATGAAAATGCTAAAAGAATTCTGGAAGTAGATGCCCTCACATAATTTTGAGAGGATAAAGTAAAATATAAATTCTGACTGACATCCTGTTAGAGGTTTTATAGCTCTAAGGTGAGGATTAGAAACTTTGAACACAGGAATTTTACCATCACTCAGTCCTTGTCTTTAATATAGAGCAGATTCTTAGTGTAGAAAATGAAAGAAGAGTGCAATTCTAGTGATATTTCTGGAAAGAACATTAAGTAAAAGTAACATTGAGACTCTTAAAGGCTCTAAACTACATAATAAGGCATTTATAATGGGGATGCTTTTCAGAGTTCTCAGCATAACTGACAGGGTAAAAATCATAGCTGTGCATGTGTGGGAGGATACATTCTAAAATAGGAGAAAATGTTCCAAGATTTTCTGAAAAATATTCTATTGTCTCTCTTTACATATGACCATTAAAAAAACCACAAGCAAACTAAAATTACCTTGTTGTGCTCAAAAAGTTAAAAATATTTGTTGCCACGGAAACAATCCCAGTCTAGATTCTTCTTTGAAGTTTATGCAGACCCATGGGGAAAAAAATACTTTATATTTTCAACACCACAGCTGACAAAATTTGTTCCTGTGCCTGAGATGAAAAACATACCTATTCTTTATCTTTGCAATTCATGGGCACATTGAAAGGGCTGTGGAAGTAATTGAACAATTCTTATATCCCACACCCAGTTTTTAGGTCAGGACTGAAAACTCATAGAAAACAAAGGAATACTAAGCCAACTAAGAACTAGAGTATGTATTTTAATGTCTGTGCTGGATATATTGTACTTATTTTCCTTACTGTATTTGTGGATTAATTTTTTTTCCAGATAAGTCCTCTTTAGGAAAGAGAAAAAAAAAGCATGGGTGCTTTTAAATACAGAAAGTAGCACTTACTAATTTTGCACAGCAATAAGAGTAGCTTGACTGCTAAAGGCAGCATAGTACAGGCTTTTGAAGTAAACCAAATTCAACTTTCAGTTTCACCATTTGCCAGCTGTGTAACCTTGAATATTTTAACTAACTTCCAAGCCTCAATTTTTACTGTGTGAAGTGGAGATAACATATACAGAGCATCTTGCACTGAGTAGGTATTCAATAAATGATATGAAACGATATCATTCTTTAATAAATTTTTAGGATAAGCAGTACTCCAGTTGAACTGTCCAGATGTGTGTGTTTCCTTATTTATTCTTCAGTCTCTAGGAAAGATCACTGCGTTAGTTCTTTGACTCTTTTTCCCCCAGTTCTACTTTCTTTTGGTCTGCCAAATTCTAAAAATTAAAGACATTTGTCTTTACAGGAGATAACAATGCTCTAAGTTCTGAGTAAAACAATAGTTATAACTTGCGTAGTGTTTGTTTATTAATGTCAACTCTTCTGTCAGATTCTTAAGAAAGTTTAATTAAATGAAAATTAGGCTTCTGTTTTATGTGCTTAGAGTGAAAAACAGATGTATTCTTTCCTTAGGCATTTTAAATTATACCTGACGTCAAGTACTGAACGCTTTTCCCAGAATTTTAAAGTCGTGGTGGTAGATGGTAAAGATGAAAGCGAGTATGCCGTCAAATGGCAGGACTTCTTCAGTGGACATGTGGTTGGTTAGTATGGAGCGAGTTTGTTTGCCCTTGTGTCTGGGGTGTTAGCAATCCAGATATAACTTGATTGCATATTCTTTTATTGGGGGGAGGAGGAAAGAGTGTCCAAGAAGTGCTTTTCTTTGTCTTATTTGAGCTCTAGCTATGTTAAGTTTGGAAGCAGAAACATTCAAACAGGAAGCATTGGGTATTTTCCAGCCTATCATACTAACTGGCTATTTTGATGATTAAAATGAATTTCCTCTTAAGTGTTAAGAATTGTTTTTTTTTAATCCATGGAAAGATTGTAGGCTTCCCTTATGAGATAGGAGATAAAATAATTTACTTTATGATCATTGTTATGTATTTACTTAGGAAAATAAACAAGCAATTGCAGTTTAAACTTTTTCTGAAATAAGTAAAAAGAAATGATGTTTAAATCCCCAAATAGTATATATAGTTCAGGCCTGTACATCCCAAATCATGCCTTCTGTCCTCTCAGTTATTTCTTACCTAAAAGTAGGTAGTTATTCCAGAAGAACATTGACACATTTATTTTGGTTTTGTTCTATAGTATACTCTTGAGGCTTGAGGGAGAGAGGTTTTAAATGAGCTGATTGAGGCTACCCCTTAGGAGTGAGAATACCTAGCTCTTTGCTGGGGCCTGTGTTGCTTGCTTGTAGATCTCTGTAGTATGTAGGGAGATGCCACTCTGATGAAGGGCTTGGTTGGTTTTTATTGACAGTAGTACATAGTTTATTTTTTTATATAAATATATTTTAATGATTAATTTTTTTTTCTCTTAAGGTGAGCCTGACTCTAGGGTTTTAGCCCATTTAGGAGATGATGATATTACAGTAAGAATCAACACAGATGGGGCAGAATATAATATAGAGGTAAATCTACATGTGCATTTTTTTTTCAGGCGTATGTATCTCTGATTTTTGAAATGCTGTTTTCTCAGTTGTGTTAAGACAAAGGTCTTTAAATGTTTTTTTCTCGCCGATGCTTAAAATTTTTTTTTTACCAAGAAAGTAGATGATATTTTTAAAAATAATATTTTTTCATGTCTAAGAAGCTGTCCTAAGATGCACCCTGTCTTTTCTAAGTACCATGATTGAGAGGAAGTCACATGTGGGGTGGGTGAAAACTTTCCCTTTGGATATGGTTTCACTTTATTCTTTCCCTAATAATCCTACTATAAGTGTAAACATTCTCAAAGATGAAGGTGAAGTCTTATTTCTCTATTTTTCCCTTTCTCTTTAGATGCTCTGGAAATGCAAGACCAATAAAAGGTGATAGCTATAGTGTGAGAAGATAAAAGAGGAAACTGTAGGAGATACAGGCTCTGGCTGCTGTGCCATTGAAATACTAGCAGTAGACAAACTAGCCACATTTGTGTAACACATGGCCCTGTGTCACATATTAGTCCAGAAAACAAAACATTTGCCACAGCTTTGTGGATTAGAGTGTTTCTGTGTTCCTAGGAAAATGAGAGTACTCAGAGTGGTAGTGATATCACCAAACAGGGCACCTGTGGGAAAACCATGAGGATGATCACATGAGAGTTTTGAGTACATTTGAGTGCCTATTAGGGGTAAGACTAAGGTGCTGGTGCTGTACATACTATACGTTTTCTAACATCCAAACTGCATGGCCATTAGTCATTTGTGTCTCTAACATTGTGAAAAAGAAATGTCTATCTCTGGCCTTGCAGTCTATTTTGACTTGTTAATGTTTAGACTAATGTCATGGTTTTGGGGAGCCTAGCATAACAGAAAGAATCAGAAAACTAGCACAAAGTAAATGAGCATTTGTCTGGAATAGGCAAGTCACTCAACTCTTAAATTACTTACTCTTTCCATCAATTCATATTTTAAAAATACATGCTCCCTGAAAAATTCAGAAAATATAAAGGTTACCTGAAATTTCACTACTGGGAGATAAAACTTATTAGCATTTTGATGAATGTCTTTCAAATTTTTTCTCTCTTTCTCTCTCTCTATATATATACACAAATAAGTAGTTATAAGACTGTTTCTTCTTGTCACATTAGGACCATGCAGTATATACAGTTTGTCTTCATTTTTTTTTAACAATATAATTATGAACATTGTTCCATGTTAGTAAATGAAGATCTAAATTAGGGTTTTTAATAACTGCTGCCTGTTGGTTCATTGAAACATTAAAGAATTTATTTAACCAATTCCCTGTTGATGGTTAATTGTTCTGCTTCTAAAATTTGAAGTTAAATAATGCTGTAGTAAACAGCTTTGGGCACACCTTTTTGTGCATACATTTAGTTAGAATAGTCCGGTGATAGGGAGTAGTCTGGAAAACCACAGGAAACTATGTCTAGGCTGTGCCAGGGTTTCACATCAGCTGCTCCCACAACAGAGGTTCATTGTTTACTTTCATTGAGATTGATGTAGTCAGGTGGTCCTTTTCCAGCTTTGATACCTGGACACATGTCCTTTGCGGTTTCCATAGGAGGGAAACAGAAAGTCCCACAGGGGATTTTAAAGGGCTAGCCTTGGAAGTGGCATATATCACCTTCACCCCCACCCCATTCTAGAACTCTTATCTGTGACCTGCCTGCAAAGGAGACTGGGAAAGATAATCTCTTGCACTCAGAGTGATAAAAGAGTGTAGGGAATGCACAGCTTTGTTTCTGCTACAATGTGTGTGTCTGCGTATTTCCTTAGAATAATCTTTTAATTTTTAATTAAAAACGTGCTTTTAGGATCCAAGTTAAATTTGCTCAGGTTCCTCACTTGTACTGTTTCACTAAGTACAAAAACTGCTATAATTAACATTTTACTATGAGATGTTTACTTAAAAGTAAACCCATCAGGTTATTGAAGGACTTTGGCATTAGATTAATTTTTAATTAGAAAAGTAGTTTATTACTTAGTATGGTGGTTCTGATATTCTTCATCGTATAATTCTTCTCTGCATTTACCTTGATAGAAAAATTGTTCATCTGTGCTAAAATCTTAGACATATGAATGAACAGAAAAGAAATATTTTTTTTAACACTTAACCATTAAACTTTTTAAGCCATGATTGATTTTATCACCATAGCTTATTATTTATGTAAATAAGCCTAGGCTAAACTTGAGTCATGAGATGACTTTTATCCTACCCAACTTTTTGCTTTAAAATGTTAAATCTGCAGGAAGATTAAAAGAATGCCCTGTAGTCCTTTATTAACTGGTAACATAATGCCATGTTTCCTTTATTGCTATTTTGCTAAAGGTCATTTGAAATAAGTTTCAGACCTAATGACACTTCACCCCTAAATGCTTCAGTGTGCATCTCCTAAGAATAAAGCTACTCTTATATGTAGCTTTAATAAAAGTAACATACCTAAGAAAATAAAAATAATTCCACAGTATTATCTAATAGTCAGTGTTGTTAGTATCTCCAGTCATTCTCAAAATCTTTATAGTTTTCCAGTTCAGGGTCCCATCAAGATAGTTGGCTGTTAATTAGTTATTCATCAGATGATTTTTTTTCTGGCAACTAATCAATAATGGTGATAATAGGTTTGCTTTTATATTAGTAGTAGTAACTATCTTTATTTTGAAATCTTAATTTATAAATGGATTCAGTAACTTACATTATCTTCAAGAAAGGTCTGTCACTACTTTACCCAGTGAGAAAAGTTATGCTCATTTAACTGAGATTTGGAACCCAGGTATCTCTGATCTCAAAGCCTGTTGTCTTTTTCTATGGTGGACTGGTTATATTAGGAAACTATTAGTATGAACTGAGAAATGTTTGACCCAATGGAAAAATTCTTTCTCTTTCTATTCATAAACCAAGTGAAGGTCCCTGTAGCCAAGCAGTTGGTTTGTTAACTTTGAGTTAACTAACAGTCTCTGCTAGCCCTGAGGTTCTGTAAACATTGTTTCCTAAATCTATCTCATACATGGATTATGAAAGAAGATATATTTGTTTGACAGCTTTATTGAGGTAAAATTCACATAGTATACAATTCAGTATTTAAAGTTTTTAATTCAGTGGTTTTTACTATATTCATAGTTATGCACACTTCACCACAATCAAATTTTAAAACATTTTCATCACCCACGAAAGAAACCTCATACCATTTAGCAGCCCACTACCCTTTGCCCCAATTCCCTAACCCTAGGGAACTGCTAATCTACTAGAGACTGTCTGTCTCTAGATTTGCCTTTTTGTCCCTTTAGATTTGCTTGGTCATTTGTATGAATGGAATCACACAGTATGTGGTCCTTTTTGACCGGCTTCTTTCACTTAGAATGTTTTTAAGGTTCATCCATGTTGTAGCCTGTGTCTGTACTTCATTTCTTTTTATTGCCAAAATATATTTCATTGTATAGATACATCGCATTTTGTATATTCATTCATCAATTGGACATTTGAGTTGTTTGCACTTTTTGGCTATTTTAAATAATGCTGCTATGAACATTTGTGAACAAGTTTTCGAGTGAGCATATATGTTCATTTCTCTTGGGTATATACTAGGAGTGGAATTTTTGGGTCATATGTATCTTTATTTTTAATCTTTTGAGGTACACTGGACTGTTTTCCATAGTGGCTGTGCTTTACATTTACTGTGTTGTTCATTCGCTATTCTCACCAGCAGTGTATAAAGGTTCTGATTTCTCCACATCCTTGCCAATACTTGTTATTATCTGTCTTTTTGATTATAGCCATCCTGGTAGGTATGAAGTGGTGTTTTTGTAGTTTAGATTTTCATTTCCATGACAGGTATGGGGGGAGATATATATCTTTCTTGAATGTTTCTTGCAAGCTGCCTGGTTCTGATGAGACCAGTGTCCTCACAGAGAACTTTGTTGTGAAAAACAGAAATATCCTTTTGATTTGGGTAATCTTTCATATATCTTAGTTTGATGTACTGTGGCCTTGTAATATTATAAGTGAAGATTTTTTAAAACCTGCCTTCCCTGAAATAATAAGTTTTAGGCGTACTATTGCAGGTTTCCAGTCTTTTTCATGAAAATGTTGGCTCTTTCTTGTGTATGAAACCTATCATGACAAAAAGATGTTAAGGAGACTGGAATGTAAATGTCATCAGATAGAACCTTTGTCTGACTTTCCTTGCTGTGTGTTCATCACCAGAATGGTGCCAACATACTGTAGGCATCATGCAACTATTTTTGAATGAATGAATGAATGGAAAGGAATATACATTTTTTTCTTTAGGATCTCCTAAAAGATTTCATAACTTGTGCAAAATAATGCTTTTCTCATATACAGATAAAAATCAAAGAGTCAATAATCCATTGTATTTATCAGCATAGAAACACTATAAAAAAAATTGAAATGATATATTTTTGATAAAATGACTAGTCAGTTTACTTAACCTAGTAAAGAACATTATCCAAGGACAAGGAAAGGATGTTGTAAGAATTTAATGTTTAGGAATTCTTATATTTTCATGTGTTTTCTATTTTAGCCACTTTGGAGACTAATTAATGATACTAAAGACAAAAGAATGTTAGTTTATAAATCTGAAGATATCAAGAATGTTTCACATGTGCAGTCTCCAAAAGTGTGTGGTTATATGAAGGCAGATAATGAAGAGTTGCTTCCAAAAGGGCTAGTGGACAGAGAGCCACCTGATGGTAAGACTTAAAAGATATATTTCAAGTAAGAAACAAGCATTATAGCTGTCTTCAATAGGGGTGGTTGTTTATTGATTAAAAACAAAAAAACACATTATTTTCAAGTACCTATAGTATTTGCCTTGAAAATGGAGTTTTCAGAAATTCAAATTAATCTTTTTGCCTATAATGTAAGAATTGAAAAGACTAGAAAATAATGATAACAATAAAGATTGAGAAAGGGAAATTGAATAATCTGAGGTAAAATATTTTTTATTTGTGGGTATTTAGAAATTACAAAATAATACTATTGAAAAATAATCTTTAGGTAAGTTCATAAGATATTAGTTGGTGCCAGGAGAGATCTAAACTGTTTAGAAAGAAGAAGGATATCAGTCTTGGGATAGATCAATTTAGAGTCATTTAAAAACCACCATTTTGGAGAAATACCCTGCTGTCCTCATTTTTTAAAACCTTAGAAAATATCACCAGTATTTTAATATATGAATAAAGAAGTTCTTAAACTGATAAAAAATCTGTTAACATAAACTGATTTTTAATGTTTGATTATCTTGATATTTTTACCATTACTTTGATTAATTTATAGACTTCTTCTAGAAGAAAATGAAAGCTTCATAGCCCAGCAAAAAATAGTTTTATTCTGTTAAGAATTTTTAGAGTTTCCTTGTTTTAAAAATTAAGGAGGTACTTTTCCTCTGTTTTAAATTCATAGCCTCATTTTTTCACTTTTCTCTCTGGCTCTGAAGCTTAAATATACTTAAATAATGTTTAAATAATACTTAAATAATGTTTGTTTAAAAAATATGCTAGATTGAAAGTGTTGCTATAAAAATACTCCTTGTTTTGATGAATTTTGATTTAATAGTGCATACAAATTCATATTAGAGCTTGTTCACCGGGTGAAGAGAAGAGCTGACCCTGATCCCATGAAGAACACATGTAAATTACTGGTGGTGGCGGATCATCGCTTTTACAAATACATGGGTAGAGGGGAAGAGAGTACAACTACAAATTACTTGGTAAGGATTTGATATTAGATAAGGTAATTGGATCAAAATAATCCATGTAGGTAGGCAAATTCCATTTAAGAGAAGACTGCTCTAAATTGGAAACACAGTGTGACAAGACCTGTTTCAGATGTTCTGTCATTTCCTTAAGTAAGGTTCTTACATTACTGTATAGAGATTCTGTTTTCAAGTGTTTGAGAACCCATTTTACCTTTGAACTAATTCTTTTTTGCACATTAGAATTTTGTGCATATTAGGTTTAGGGGAGGGTTCACAACATAGGCCTCCCTTCTTCATGCAGGCGAACTCTTTGAAAGCATCACAGCTTTAATGGCAGTGATCCTGTTGGTGACACATGTGGATGTGTGCCCCAGAGGAAAAAAAAGTATTCATGTGAATCTGTGTGTGTTATTTTTGCTTATATGTGTATTTCAGAGAAGATGGTCAGTTTGGTTTGTCACATAAAGTAGCTAATTGTTGGAATGAAACTGCATGAAATACATGGAACTTTCTTGGTCATAACTAACTATAGGCAGAGATTTAAAGTAAAGATTATAGAAGTATTGCTGCTGGGTTTCTAAGTACTTACCATTTTTATCTTTAAAAGTCAAGGGAATCATTTCATTGACATTTTCTGTTAGTATGACCTCATTGGTCATGACAGTTTGGCACTGAGCAGAATGCTGTTGAGGGAAGAAAAGAGAATGCAGCTATTCATAAGCTGTGAGCCTAGTGCAATAAAGCCATCTTTTTCATTGCTTTGCCTTTCCTGGTCTCTGTTTTATTCAAACCCTCCCTCACCCTGCTATGCCTTCCCTTCCCTGTCAAGTGAAAGAGTTTATTATGAGGGTAGTAGGAGTGGTGTTTGACGTCACTATAATTCTTGTTCTTAAGAGAGATTTTTTTCTGGAAAAACCTTCTTAATAGGGGTTTTGTATTAAGGGGCTCTTATTTACTTCTTTGTCCATTACACTAAGAATATGAATATAATGAGAGGTCTAGTCTTAAAGTTGTATTTCTTAGTCTTACTATAAGCAAAAAATGATTTCTTACCTATAACATGTGCTTCATAGTTGCTAGAACAAACCTTATCTACCCAGTTTTTGAACGATAGAATAGTATCTCTTTGAGGAAAAGATGAATAATAGGCACTTTATTCTTGTATATTTGAATCATCCCTGTCTATTAGACTGCTCCTCCCCACCCCCCAGTATTCTCTGCCCGACTTACCCACTTTCCCAAACCAGAGGACAGAAGAGAGGAGGAATGGTAAAACCTCATTTCTGTCTCCTTTTTTACCTGTCCTCGGTGCTGACTTTTGTCCAGTGAGGGTTGGGGATAGGGTCAGCAGCATCTGTCAGTGGTCCTTTCCTCCTTCCTGAGGGAGGCATTTGTGGTACTTGCCAAGAAATGGGGTGAGGACATAATATTTCTTAGAAGGAAATATCTTAGGTAAATTGACTTTGAACCTTCATTTTTTATAGTTGACTGGACTGGCAGTTTTCAAAAAGCCTATTACTTGATATTTTGATTCCAAATCCAATTGATACCCTGAAATTTGGAATTCGCTCTACCACTGTTTGGTTCTGCTAACAACACTTTTAAGTTGGAGGCTAGGAAGAGTATCTTTTTTGGAGCTGTCAATGAGGAAGAGTGACAACACTAGCTTCAGAGTTGGTGGAAACTTTTACAATGGCATTTTCTGATTAAACCGATATTTTTAATCCCTGCAGAATTTATATTATATTGCAGAGTGGAAAAGTTATCCATAATGTCTTTCTCTCACTTCTTCTTTTATAAACAGATAGAACTAATTGACAGAGTCGATGACATCTATCGGAACACTTCATGGGACAATGCAGGTTTTAAAGGTTATGGAATACAGATAGAGCAGGTATTTATCAGTGGATGTGGCTTATATTACTGAGTTAAGTTATATAATGTAAATATTTGTTGTTGGTATTCAGAACCCTATAACTTATCTTTAATAATAAATAAATATTCTCAAATGCCAGTGATTTTTTTTTTCAGATAAATTGTACAGTGTTTTTGATATTAGTTATTTACAGGTTGTGAAGTTTTCTGTTCTTAGGCTGTTTTAGACAGGAAACCTTTTTATGCTGTTGTTATCTCGCTTTTCTCTGAATTCATGAATTCAGTTTTATCCCCTGCATGTTTTATTTTTCTTAGATTATGCTTTATGTCTTTAGTTAGAATTCTAGCATGTATTATTGAATACTTAGAAAATTTACTCAAAAATACTGTACATTTGCAAAGGCATTTGTACATTCAAAACTATTTGATCTCCTTTCTCCAAAATCTGATTTCTTATAATCTGTTCATAGATCACATCCAACAATAATGTACTGCTGTTGTCTTAATTATATCTCATAGTAAAAACTGTTCCAAATTGATAAGACTAATTAAAAAGATTAATTTGATATTGGGTATTGCTTTGGATACACATTTTAATATGTAAATTATTGTCTCTATTTTTCCAGGCTCTTTGTAGTAAATCAATCATATTCTTATAGTTGTATAATATAGAATTTAGAGGTTAAAGAAAAAGCCTTTGAAATCATGCATCATACTTAAAAATGTTTTTATAATACTTGTATAAACCTAAAAATTATTTTTCCCTTTTCCATTCTTTTTTACTCTTTCGCATTTTCTTTTTTAAGTTATTATTTGAATAGGTAATATTCACACATGGTACAAAAAGCCAGTGAAAAGTAAGTCTTCTCAACCTCTATCCAGTTCCTTCTCCAGAGACATCCATGTCATTAATTTCATATGTATCTTTCCAGAGAGAATTTATGCACGTATAGCATGTGTATGTATATATATGTGTATTTGGCACATTAGTGGCTTGCTGTACTCTTACGCTCCTTGCTGTTTCATTTCACAAATATGTTGGCGATTGTGGTACATACAAAGCTGTCTCACTTGTTTAAAATAGCTGCATCATGTTTGAGTTTTAGGGGACCAATAATAAAGCTTCTTATTGCCTTAGGAACTTGTAACCAATTGAAAAAAATAGGTGTGATATAGGAGGAGGTAAAGATAACAGCTTCTTTAATGATATTAGCTGGATCGGAGGCTGTGGTGTAGCTGTACAGTCACAGTGGGCTTCCACTCACTTCATCCCAGGATTGATATTAACCTCCCTCCACCATAGCTGCAGAGCCCACCCCAGTGAGCGTGCCCTATGGGGGCAGAGCCAACCAGAACAGACCTGCAGTAGGCAGGCGGTCCAGAGAGAGGCCAGAAATGACTGAGCTGGACATGGCTTTGTTCCTTTTCCTTGACTTGCAAATTGACACATTTCATCTCCTTTGGAGAGAAGCCTTTGCTCCTTATTTTTTATTTATTTATTTATTTTAAAGCAAGATTAATATGAATTTGTGCTCTCTGAGCTCCTGTTGTCTATAATTTTTTATTCCTGTGGTACGCAGTGATGCCCATCTAATTATGCTGAATCTCTGAATCATTTGGCTATAGTTGAAATACGTTAGGCTTATGGAACCCAAGTTCTCATTCTTTCCAACTAAATATTGAGGAAATGAAAGTTTAGGAGTATATTTATAAAGGTATAAATCATTCATTGACGTGTTTTCCATACCATTTGCTTCTTGGTTTGTTCTTAAACATTGAATATTAGAACTGAAAAATTTTATGGAATTTTGGTTCTGAAACATTTTTTCTAGAATGGTAGATGGTCTTTTTCTGAATAGCTAAAGCAATGCAGTATTATTTCAGAGTCTTGTGACTTTATTCTGAAGTGTTCTAAGTATGTTATCTCTTTAAGTATAGATTCGCATTCTTAAGTCTCCACAAGAGGTAAAACCTGGTGAAAGGCACTACAATATGGCAAAAAGTTATCCAGATGAAGAGAAGGATGCTTGGGATGTGAAGATGTTGCTAGAGGTAGGTCGTAGAATCCTGGATGTGAAGCTTTTAGCACCCTTTGTCATTTCTAATAAGTGGGTTGTGTCTGCATTAATGAAGGGGAACATTAGAAAGGTAATTGAAAACTAGGAACAACCCATCCTAGCTGATCCAACAATGACTCAGTCCCTGCATCAGGGCACACAGCAAGATGAGCAAAAAAAGCTGTGAAATGAAACATGCTAAAAACAGTGCTTTTTAACCTTTTTGTCTTTGAGAATCTAATGAAGTAATGGGACTTCAGAAAATAGATGGATACCCAGTATATAGAATTTTTGCATACTATTTTGTTAGTTCAGGTCTCTTTGAAACTTCCAGTTGATTTCTTATGTCAGTAATTGTAAAGTAGTATGAAAATACATTAAAGCATAGAAATATAACTTGGAGATCTATAAGTTCTCTACAGGAATTTGAAATTTTTGTGTTTTATTCTGGTAATGAATCTAAAAATATTTAATCTATACATTCCATGCCATATGGTTTCTTGCCTGGACAGGATATGATTTAATCTTTTTTGCCTTATCATTTCAGTGTCTGAGTTTGTGGGCAGTCTTGTTTTGTTGTAAAATGACTTTTTATGAAGTGAGAGTGTTTGTTTTTTAATATGTTAGTGTATTAGTTTCCTATGGGTGCTGTAACAAATTACCACAGATTTAGCAACCTTAAACAATAGTGATGTATCTGATAGTTTCCATAGGTTAGTCCTCACACAGCCTGGCTCATCTGGATTCTCTGATTAGAGTCTTGCAAAGTTGAAATCAAGTGTTCAAAGCTTGGATGGAATTAAAGGGTATTACTAACTCTTTACCCAGGTTGACATCGTAGAGTGCTGCATCTCTAGTACTCCTCTGTAGTACTCCTACAAGCTTATCTAATTTGGACCCCTGCCACCCTGAGAGGTAGTTGAGACAGCACTGTTCTGCTTTTAATGAGGCTCAGCCAGTGCAGTAGTCTAGTAGGGCTGCCAGAAACAAAGCACAACAGACAGGGGAGGCTTAAACAACAGAAATTTATATTCTCATAGTTCTGGAGGCTGGAAGTCCAAGATTAAGGTGCAGTCCAAGGTCAAGGTAACAGTAGGATTGGTTTCTTTTGAGGTCTGTCTCCTTGGCTTGTAGTTGGCCATCTTCTCCTATGTCCTCATACGGTCTTCACTCTGTTTCCCAAGCTCTTATAAGGATACTGGTCATACTGGATTAGGCCCTCTCATATGACCTCATGTATCTTAATTACTTTTTTAAGGCCTTGTCTCCAAACACAGTCCCATTCTGAGGTACTGGGTGTTAGGACTTCGACATGTGAATTTTGGGGACAGTTCAGCCCATAACAGCAGGGTTAGATGACTTGTCCACAATTTGTTGTACAACTAGTAATAGCAGAGCCAGAATCGAGTGGCCAGATCATCTGACTCTTAGGATAGCTGCACACTGTACCTCTTTAGTTCTCCATGGGCCCACATCAGGGGAGAAACAAAAGGGAACCACTTGACTCCACAGATGTTCCTCTCCATTTCTCTTCCCTAAGGCTCCTTGCAGATTCCTAGAAACCTCAACCTGTTCCCACAGAACTATCAAAATCTCAATGTGGCCAGGATGGCATTTCCTGGGATCACCTCATTCCTCATGCAAGGCTTATTTTGAGCATTTTAAAAATCAAGGTCTTCTTAAGTTCAAGTCTATGGGCTGTTACAGTAGAGGTCTTTAGAGTAATATGGGGAGCCCTTTTAAGGAAAAAAAGTCCTCCTGAAGCACCGGTGCTGACTTAAATGGACTTTGTCTTTATTTTAGTAATGTAAAACTAGGAATATATGCTTTCCTATAAGTTTATAACTCTTATGCATTGCAAAGCCAAAGCAAACCTAAAAAAACCCTACAAAATCAGTAGAATCCTCAAAATACTTCTGAGGGATCTGTTTGGGTGTAAGACGCTGAAATCCCCTGGGAGAGCTATTGAAGCACTGGGGCTTACAGGGTTGGGAAAGGTGCAGTGAGGGCTGCGTGTCTTCACACCAATCCTGGCAGTTCTGTCCTGCTATAAAAAGCTCTCAAGCTCTTCCCTTTTGTAGTTCATGCCGCCCCTGGCCACCAGATGACAGCCTGCTTCTCACCTGTATAGGTGGGTGAGATGCTTAGGTAAGGAGCATTGTACTGCATGATTTTGTGCTTGCTGGTACAGAACTGCAGTCAGTCATAAGGTACTCTTCTGGAATATTTGGTTGTAACATCTTTTAGTCTAATACTATTATTCTAATTAAAAATACTTTTTTTAAAAAAAGCAATTTAGCTTTGATATAGCTGAAGAAGCATCTAAAGTCTGCCTAGCACATCTTTTCACCTATCAAGATTTTGATATGGGGACTCTTGGATTAGCTTATGTTGGTTCTCCCAGAGCAAACAGCCATGGAGGTGTTTGTCCAAAGGGTAAGTTTTCCATTTGTTATGTGTGGGAATAGCAGGCTGATTGGGTTATATTATAATTCTTTATTGAACAAGCAATTTGTCTCTGTTTCCTTTTTCCTTTAGCTTATTATAGTCCTATTGGAAAGAAAAATATCTATTTGAATAGTGGTTTGACCAGCACAAAAAATTATGGTAAAACCATTCTTACAAAGGTAAGTTCTTTTATCTTTTGAAAGGATAGATTTTGAGTTCATTGTAGTAGAATCTCAGCTGTTATATATTTATGTAGGTATCTTTTTAAAATGTAATACATGTTTTCTGGTGAGAAATATGAAAATAAAAAGTATAAAGTAGATAAAAGTTACCTGTTAAGCTTCTTTTGAGACCCATCAGGACCATTCTTCTTCCTGAAGACATTCCCCCTGGAGCCCTTCATCCTGCAGCTCCTCTGTGGGCTTCTTGTTTCCCAGTCCTGCAGCATAGCTGTCATTTGAGTATGTCCCCAAGCTCTCTAATTTCCTGGGCCTTGTGTTCTTCTTTCTTGATCCATTCCACCATTTTGGTGTAGCATATCCTCCAGGTGCTTCCTAGGACAGGACAGGCTACATGAGAGAAAATTGAGATTTGGCATGTCTGCAGATGTCTTTAACCTTCTCTTCAACTTGACTGATAATTTAGCTGGGTATATTCTCAGTTCTCTCAGCATTTGAAGGCATTGCTACATTGTCTTCTAGTGTTCTGTGTTACTATTAGAGTCTGAAGTCATTCTTATTTTTATCCTTTGTATGTAACCTGTATTTTCCTTGGATGATTTTAGGATCTTGTTTTTGCTCAGATACATTCTTTAAGAATGTGTTAGGCACATTCCAGAAAATCTAATAAACAGTGACTAAAATAAGGAGTGTGTTTGTCTTAGTTAGCAAGAGGTTCATGGATAGCATTCTGTAGGTGCTGCAGCAGCTTAGTGAATGCTCCCAGGATCTTCCCAACCTTGACTCAGCCATTCTAAGCAAGAGGCCTTTGTCCTCATTCATATCACTTCATGGTCATGAGTTGGTTCTCTTCTGTATTGCAGAAAAGAGGTCAAAGAGACCATAGCTAGTCTACTCTGTCCCTTTTAAAAAGGTTCTCTGGAAGCCCCAACCACTGTCTTCTGTCACTTGAGTGCCTGTACCTTCAGAGGAGTAAGGGAAGGTGGCTGTTTTAGCTGAGTGCATTGCTTCCTGAGCAGAGTTAGGATTCTTTAAGGAAGGGAGAAGGGCAGAATGGATATTGGTAGGAAATAGTAGTATCTGATACACTGGTCATTTGACCGTGATTTATACTTGGTATTTTTATTCCACTGTTTTGGGCAGGTGGGCCTTTCAATCTAGACACTCATGTTTTTAAATTATACAGAATTTTTTAGTTTTTTGATTAATTTTTATCCTTTTTTTCTGTTGTATGTGGAACAGCATTAAATCAGATATTTGATATCCTAGAATGATAGTCTGATTTTTCTTAATTTCTATTTGTCTATTTTCTAGATGCCCTAAATTTTATCTTCATCTTTTGAATTTGTTTTTCCTGTGAACTTTTTTGTTTTCAGTACCCTTGTTTTCTATTTTTATAACTTCCTATTCTTTCATCATTGCAGTATTTTACTTTTTTTTCTCTAACTTGTGTACTTCTTTTCACCTTCCAAAATTTTGTTGCCATCTGTTGCTTGCTCTTGTCCTCTCTCTTGTTCTGTATCTTTGTTGGGCTCCATCCTTTTTATTCTTTGCTGCTGTTTTAGTGAGATTGCATGACAGAGTAGAGACAAGTACAGTGTGTACTGTTCAACTGGAAGTTTCCCATAATTGATCTTTACTCTCAGAAATAAAAAAGTTAAAGGCTGTCAACTCATGTATCGGCAGAAGAGTGCAATATTGAAGAGTGGTAGAAAAATAAATTGTGTTGGAGTTGGAAACATAAATTATGGAAGTGCATATTCAGTTTTTAGTGTTTTGTGCTGCTGTAATGTACATCCTTCCATCTTCTTAAACCTTCTGATAAGTCAGCCACATAACAAAAAAAGAAATTAAAGCGTATTAGAAAGTTTTAGTTTGAAGAACCTGAAGAACAGTTAAGATGAAAGTGCATGATCCTGTAGAGAGAATAAGGCAGAAGAAAGGAACAGGGAAATATAATGGATATTGAAGAAAAAAATACTGGCATTTCCTGGACTATAAAAATGTAAAGTGGGACCGGCCGAACTAGTAGCAAGTATTTTAAAAGACATACCTGATAAGGGCTGCTTCCTGAAATACACAAGAAGCTCAACAGTATGCTAAATAACAGTAAGAAAACAAACAACCACATTTTTAAGTAGCCAGAAGATCTTAACAGACACCTCACCAAAGAAGATACACAATATCAAATAAGCTTATGAAAAGATGGTCAGTATTATGTATCAGGGAATTTGCAGATTAGAATGAGATACCGCTATACACTTATTAGAATGGCTAAAATTCTAAATGCAGATACCACCAAATGCTAGTGAGGATGTGGAGCAACAGGAACTTTCATCCACTGTGGGAATGCACAGTGGTACAGTCACTTAGGAAGACAATTTTGTGATTTCTTACAAAACTAAACCTACCCTTATCATATGATCCAGCAGTTACGCATCTTTGTGTTTGTCTGAATGAATTGAAAACTTAAAGGCAGACAAAAACCTGCACATGGATGTTTGTAGCAGTTTTATGCATAATTTTGAAAACTTGGAAGCAACAAGATGTCCTTCAGTAGGTGAATGGATAAATCACCTGTGATACATACAGATAATGGAATACTATTCAGTGCTTAAAAAAAACCTATGAAGCCATGTAAAGACAGAGGAATCTTAAATGTCATTCCTAAGTGAAAGAAACCAATCTGAAAAGGCTACCAATTCCATCTATCTGACATTCTGGAAAAAGCACAACCGTGGAGGCAGTGAAATGATCAATGGTCACCAGGAATGGAGGGATGGATGAATAGGTGGAGCCCAGAGGATTTTTAGGGCAGTGAAACTACCCTGAATAATACTGTAATGATGGATGTAAGACATTATGCATTGTCAGAATCCATAGAATGTACAACATACTGAGCCCTAATGTAAACTGTGGACTTTGGTTGATTGAAAAATAAAATAAATTGGGATGAGAAAAGAAAAACATACTAATCAGTTTTTGGAAACCTTTTAATTTACAAATTTTTTTCTGATGGTGCTCAAAATTGTTTCTGATGTAACACCATTTTGATGTTACAACATCTTCAGTGTTTCAATTTCATGACATACTTTGCTTGGTCTTTCAGAATTTTTCTATTATGAGACAAAAATTTTTCTATTATAAGAAGAGCAAAAAATAAATTTACTTTGAAATTTTTTGAGATGTTTGAATGTCATCTCCTGGAGAACCCACTACTAAATTTTCCCGAAACATAATTTTGGAATTACTTCTCTCCAGTACACCTTTGGGATTTGAGTACCTTTTGATAAAAATGTCTCTAGCACCATTTTAATGTAAACATGTGGGAAGCTTCAGGGCCTTGGCTTCAGAATCAGGACTCCAATTTGTAAGTTCCAATGACTTTCAAAAAATATAAGTCTTTCAGGTTCTGTGGATTTTTTTGCTCCCTTACAGGGAAAAAAATCAGTAATTTAAATTTGTTATTCTTATTTTATACAGATAAAAACAGGAAAAAATTTTACTTTATTGGCTAAATTCATTGTTATATTCAGATAGAAATCTTCTGGTGACCTGATAGATGCAATATAGCTCTTTAACTGGATTCTAGTAAATGAGGTCCCCCAGGTCATTAAGATTGATAATGGACACGAACTCAGTCACTGAGATAAGGAACATTGTTTTTTTGTTCCTCAGTTGTGTTGTGTTTTCACCCCTTACTCTCACCCCCTCCCTGGTGCTTAGGTTTAACAGGATTTGATTGGGATGGGATGTGAAGGGAGGCATGGGTAATTAACCACAGTGTATGTTTGGAGTGGCCAGTGTTTGGTGCTTAGTTAAGAATGTTCCAGTATGTCTTGTTTTATTTTCTTAAATTGATTTAAATTCATCCTTACAATACTATGTAGTAGTATTAAATCCTGCTTATTCTGTTTAATGGTTATAATTGATAAAAGAAGTTATAGTCCAGCTGTTACTCTGTTGATCTTATTAATCATGCCCCCATTTAAGACAGTAGGGCCAGACTGGCCAAAGCAGGTAATTGTTGGGTATTGAGAAAAAATGTTTTCTGTTTTCTCTTTCCTTAAGGAAGCTGACCTTGTTACAACTCATGAATTGGGACACAATTTTGGAGCAGAACATGATCCGGATGGCCTAGCGGAATGTGCCCCGAATGAGGACCAGGGAGGCAAATATGTTATGTATCCCATAGCTGTGAGTGGAGATCATGAGAACAATAAGGTAGGTGTCTTTTTGGGCTTTTTTATTGTTAGGAAAAGAAAGAGGTTATGTAATTAGAATGACAGCTCAGAAAAGCATTCCATTCTAGGAATGCAAATTACAAAGTACCCTGAAATTTGGTTGTGTGTTTTAGAGTCAAAAAAGGTCCATCTAAATCTGGTTTAAGCTGTCATTTGGACTGTTTGTTAATCAGAGTTAATCATGTGTCACTTTGGGCTATATGGAAAATTAGTAATAGTAACAGCTTATGTTGAAGTTCTAGAATTTAGGATCTTGTGGGCTCAGATTTTAAGTTAAAAATATCCTGTGTTTTCATACATGGGTTGTCATTCATTTTAAATCTATAGTACTTCACAATTTGCATGTTTTCATAAACTTTTGCAATAGGGTACATAATTTTGCCAGAGTAGAAATCTCCTGTTGGAAGAGCCCTTGCTTTTCTTATTCATGGCTGTGTCTCCATGTCTGATAGGGGAACCAGGCACATAATAAGTATTTGTTGAGTACATAAGTAAATTGAGGATATACTAGTAGAGTACACTAGTTAACTTGGGGTAGTGTAGAGACGTTAGTAACTGGGACTAACTTTTAGTCCCAGCTCTTAGAGCGTGAACTGAAAGTGCTCATAGATGTCTGGTCCTTTCATGTGACTGACTTGAGGTCGAGCAGCACAAGGCATGGTGAGGAGGGAGGCTTGCTGGTTCTGTTGCTGAGTTTAAGAGGGTTGGGGGAGGGGCTGAAAGTCGGGCCTTCCTCAGGAGAGATGGTACCATGTTTCTCCTGACTCCTCTTTTGAGCCAACCTGTGGCTGTTTATAGCCTGACCAGGAGCTAGAAGAAAGGGTTACTTGTGTGTTTCCCTGGCCTTGACAATGCTTTTAAGAATATTTTTCTTAGGTTCTTTTTGTCATCTTTCTTGATGTTGTATCTCATTTTCTTTGGCTGTTACATGTAAACAGCCCCTTCCTCTCTTGCTTTGCATTCATGTTTTATTTTTTCTGCCTGAGGAACTTTTTTCCCTACCCATTTTTGCCCATTCTCTAACTTGGTGCACACCCTGTTGCATTTTCCTCCTTTCTTTCAAATTTGTCTCTGCACTTGTAATCGTGTACATTGTAGTTCAGCATTGTTCAGTAGAAGGTTCTGTGATGCTGGAAACGTTCTGTATTTGCTCTACCCAAAGCTTTGCTATAAGCAGATGGTATTAGGGATTGTAACTCTTAGGAAGGTTAACTGGTGGAAGGAGGAGTGTATGTGGAGGCAATGAAAGTGAGTGCGTAGGAATGGTCATTTTTCCCTTAGCTCTGTTCAGGAGTCTGGCTGCTTGGGGCTGTGACTCTCATTAATGCATTCAAATTCACACTGAATCTGAATTTATTGGGATCCGATCTTTCATAAGTGAATTGCTAAACTGAGTTCATTAATCTGCAATGCTTATGAGTGAACCCAGCGAAACACTCACTACCTGAGGCCTAGACTGAAATAACCAGGCCCCTCAAATATCTGTACTATAAAAATAAATTGGAAGGTCCTTTTTAAAAAGTCCAGTTAGTGCTTCTGTTTAGAGTGATAAGGTCTTCAAAATCTTTCTGACATTTGATTCAGTGGTCACAGTTCCCTTTGAAGGTCCTGTGTTCTCAGCTCCTCAGGGGCTTCATGGCTCTTGTCTAGGGTGAAAGTAAAGCTATTTTAGCAATTTGCAGAGAACTGTGGAGACCCAACCTCAAGAAATAACTACATAAAGTTTTCCCCAAGAGTCTTACTCCTCTCTTGATAATTTCAGGTGATTTGGAAAAAGGGCTCCATTTTAGAGCTCCTGGTAAAAATCCCTAAGTTTATAAGGAGGCCATTTCTGTGGCTCTGTGCTATAGCTGAGGCAGAGGCTCCTTTGAGACACCGGTCAACTGTAGAAAATGCAGAAGAACTGTTAAAATCTCAGGGATCCATGAAAATGTTTAGGTAACAATTTGGAATTTAATCTTTCAATAGATTCTATGTAATAGCATGCCTTTCACCAAGCTCAGCTGTTTAAAAGCTGCAAATATGGCTCATTTATATAACTGGCCAGGGAAGGAGGAGGAGGTAAACCGGAAACAGACCCTGTTCTGCATGTCTGAATCGCATGTATAGGAAGACAACTGTCTGCCCCATCTCACTGCCTCTTCAGCAATGCCAGGCTGAGGCCAGGCCTGCGTACAGTCTGGAGGAGATGAGCAGCTCTCCACTTGTGACTGACTGCTTATGGTCCCAGTGGGACTGTCTAGGATGTCTGGTCTCCGTGTTTGCATAGCCTGCCCTCCTGTGAAAAACTTTAGGCTCTTAACCATATTCACACCAGCTTCCTAGTATCTGTAGAGGATAAATGACATTTAGAGGCGGTAGTGATGGAACTTGACATACCATCTAGGCAGCTCTGATTGTGGCTCTCCATTAAGAGTCTGTCCCTAGAGAACAAGCATAAACACTGCATAGGAATGAATTTTTACTGTTCTTTTGGGGTCCTTTGTGGCCTTTTTTCTCTTAAGATGTTTTCAAACTGCAGTAAACAGTCCATCTTAAAGACCATTGAAAGCAAGGCCCAGGAGTGTTTTCAAGAGCGCAGCAACAAAGTATGTGGGAACTCCAGGGTGGACGAAGGAGAGGAGTGCGATCCTGGCATCATGTACCTGAACAACGATTCCTGCTGCAGCAGCGACTGCACGCTGAAGCAGGGCGTTCAGTGCAGGTGGGAACGCCCCTCACTGTTGTGTAACCAGGTGTCCAGATAACAGCGGATAGGAAATACAGGAGCTTTAGAATCAGAGGGTGTGTGCATATGTGTGTGTAGTGCACATGTGTGCGGCGTGTGCATGCGTGTGTTTATCCCTTTTTCCTCTTTCTTTCCTTTACAGCAAGAAAAATACTTTCTGGAAACCAATTTGACCTTATGTAACAAAATCTTTCATCTTGCATACTCTTTGAGGTAACAATCCCACAGTTCAAAGAGTCTTGTCTAAGGAAACAGAGGTACAAGAAAGATGATGTAACAAGGATGTTCATGGCTACATTCTTTTATAATAACAAAATATTGGAAATAAAATGACAATCCTGGAATATTATTATTATTTTTGTTTATATATACAATAAAAGAGTATTATAGAATAATGTTTAATGGCATAAACTAAATGTGGAGGACACAGGTTACAAATGAGAATGTACCTGTATGTCCATTTCCCACAGATAGATCAGTGCCTAGCTTAGAAGTAGAAGTGGAATCCTTTAGTTTATTGTGAATAAGTGATTTAACTGCATACAGTACATAGTACACTGTAAATCTGATAGGGAGTGGGCTCTGCCTGTCTAGTTTCTTAACCACTGACTCCCTTGTGCCCCTGTGTCATCTTTTTTTAAAAATTACTTTATTAATGAAAACTAAGGATACCAGGATGTTTTAAAGACGAGTCACTCTGGACCTTTCTGTACTTAATCAGACAGAGTATATGCAGGTGACATCAGCACCTGAGAAGTCCGAGTATGCAGGAGTGGGTGCCCCCTGTGACCTTCAGGGCCCTTTAACATGACCCTAGTGATTGCTGTGGGCTATCTTTTGACTTGAACTGTCCCCATCTGCTCTTCTTCTGCAGTGACAGGAACAGTCCTTGCTGTAAAAACTGTCAGTTTGAAACTGCCCAGAAGAAGTGCCAAGAGGCTATAAATGCTACTTGCAAAGGCGTGTCTTACTGCACAGGTATGTCCTCCTGTTGGTTCTCTCGGAATGCTTTGCTCAAGTGAGTATGTGTACATTTGAAAGCAGGGTTGTTTCGTTTAGGTGAAAACAACCTTTATGAACCTCATGTGCAGTGTTGTTTCAGTCATACTCTGTAGTTTGAGATAGGCTTGTTGTTGGTCTGTTTTATTCCTTTTCATTACTTTTTCCTCTTTTGTTCACTCCATTCCCATTACCTCCATTTTCCTCTCTCTCATAGGCATGTATTCTAATGTGTTTAATATTTGCCTGGATATATGTATTTTCTTGAAATATACCATAGTGTTATTTTGTGTATTTATGTGTTTTTAACATTCTCAAATGCTATTCTACTTGAAATCACTTTTTGAACTCAATATTATGCTCTTATTATTTCTCTTGCACTGTGTATCAATGTCTACATATCTGTGTCTGTATCTAGTTCATTGTTCTGGGTACCTTCTGTGTCTGTTTTCAGTAGTTAGTCATGTGATTTACTATATTTTATTTACTCATTGACCAAGTAATGGCTGCTTGGACTGCCTTCACCTTCTTGAGACTGCAGGCAGGACATGCTCTTACATCTCCGGGTGCTGTGGGAGCACCCCGGGTGCAGAGGAGGAGTGGAGATGCTAAGTCATAGACACAGGTACTACACTGGTCTCTAAAACTGTGGTACTGGCTTGTCAGTGCGAATGGGTTCCTGCATCTAGATGTCTAATTTTGGCCAATCTGATGAATGTAGAGATTTATCATCCTTATTTATGTTTTTCTGAACATCTTCTTTATATTTGTTAGCTATTCAGGTTTTTCTTTTGTGAATAGCCAGTTCATTTATTTGGTCCATTCTAAAAAGGTGGGTTTCATGTCCTTTTGCTATTATTGATTTCAGAGTTTCAGTATAATAATCCATTTGTTTTAAACACTGCCTATACATCCCTCCTATTTGTTAGCCCTGACACAGAACTCTTTCATTTAATGTAATCAGATATGTCACTACAAATTTTTCTGAATTGTGGATAGTTAGAGATTTCTGACAACTTCTGTTAGCTTCATAATTTTACTTTTACCTGCATATAATGTTCTTTTTTGACCCTTGTGGGTCAAAAAATTTTTTTTGACTTAAATTGTTTTATGTAATACTCTTCTTGCTACCCCCCCCTTTTTTTTCTTATTTATTTGGTATATCCCATTCTTATATACATTTTTTAGCTTTCTGTATCCTTCAGTTGCTTGGTTTGATTTTTGTTAACAGCTTTATTGACATACAGTTAACATACTGTACCAGTCACCCATTTCAAGTGTACAGTTCAGTGGTTCTAAGTATATTCACAGTTGTGCAACCATAGTCAATTTTAGAATGTTTTCATCACCTCAGAAAGAAACCCATGCCCTTTAGCCCTCACTCCAGATCTCATCTCCCAGCCCCAGACAACCACTGATCTACTTTCTGTCTCTATGGATTTGCCTGTTCTGGACAGTTCACATAAATGCAATCATACCATACATGGGCTTCTGTGTCTGGCCTCTTTCACTTAGAATAATGTTTTAAGATCCATTCATGTTGTAGCATAAATCATCACTTCATTTTTTTTTTTATATTTTTATACTTTTTATTTTTATTTTTTTATTAAGGTATCATTGATATACACTCTTATGAAGGTTTCACAAGAAAAACTGTGGTTATTACATTCACTCTTATTATCGAGTCCCCCCGATACCCCAGTGAAGTCACTGTCCATCAGTGTAGTAAGATGCCACAGCATCCCTGTTTGTCTTCTCTGAGCTACACTGTCTTCCCCATAACCCCACAGATACCATATGCACCAATCATGATACCCCACAATCCCCTTCTCCCTCCCTCTCCACCTGTCCTCCCCAACCCCTCCCCTTTGGGTAACCACTAGTCCCTTCTTGGAGTCTGTGAGTCTGCTACTATTTTGTTCCTTCAGTTTTGCTTCTGTGTTATACTCCACAAATGAGTGAAATCATTTGGTACTTGTCTTTCTCTGCCTGACTTATTTCACCGAGGATAATACCCTCTAGCTCCATCCATGTTGTTGCAAATGGTAGGATTTGTTTCTTTCTTATGGCTGAATAGTATTCCATTGTGTATATGTACCACATCTTCTTTATCCATTCATCTACTGATGGACACTTAGCTTGCTTCCATATCTTGGCTATTGTAAATAGTGCTGTGATAAACAAGGGTGCATGTCTTTTTGAATCTGAGAAGTTGTTTTCTCTGGGTAAATTCCTAGGAGTGCAATTTCCAGGTCAAATGGTATTACTTCATTTATTTTTATTACTGAATAATATTCCATTTTACGGATATGTCATGTTTTGTTTCATTCATTCATCAATTGATAGGCTTTGGATTATTTCCACTTTTGGGCTATTATGAATAATGTTGCTATGAACATTGTGTGCAAGTTTTTGTGTGGACATAAGTTTTCATTTCCCTTATATATACCCAGAAGTAGAACTGCTGGGTCATATGGCAACTATTTAATCTTTTGAGGAACTGTCAGACAGTTTTCCAACATGGCTGTACCATTTTACATTCCCATCAGCTGTGTATGAGAGTTCCAGTTTCTCCACATCTTCACCAGCACTTGTTACTGTCTTTTTGATTGTAGCCATCCTTATGCATATGAAGTTTTGCCTCCTTTTAGTTTTTCCTTTCGCTTTAAATTTGCATTTTGTAAGCTGTTACTCCAGATTTTACCTTGTGAGATCTCTGAGCACCACTTGAGTTAGCCAAATGTTAGGGACCTGAATATCTAAATCAAGCTTAAAAAAAAACATTTTCTAGCTATGCTCTGTGTTTCTCTTTTTTATAATAATAACAGATTCAGAAAGATGTTATTTTTTTTAAATTAAAGTATCACTGATACACAATCTTATGAAGGTTTCACATGAACAACATTGTGGTTTCAACATTCACCCATATTATCAAGTCTTCACTGCCTCCCATTGCAGTCCCTGTCCATCAGCATAGTAAGATGCTATAGAGTCATTACTTGTCTTCTCTGTGCTCTACTGCCTTGCCCTTGACCTGCCTATATTGTGATTGTGAATTATAATGCCCCTTAATCCCCTTCTCCTTCCCACCCACCCACTCTCCCCAACCCCTTTCCTTTGGTAACCACTAGTCCCTTCTTGGGGTCTGTGAGTCTGCTGTTTGTTCCTTCAGTTTTTTTTTTTTTTTT